TAGATCGCACAGACTAGGCCTTAGAGCACACAGACTAGGCCTCCTCCGGATTCCATCGGCCGGTCAATGTAGGCTGGCGACCCCCCGGGGGAGGGCCTTCTCTGTAGCTGCTCCGGCCCTCTGGAACTATCTCCCCGTTGAGATCCGCACCCTTACTACCCTTCCGGCCTTCCGTAAAGCGACGAAGTCCTGGCTGTTCCAGCAGGCCTGGGGCTGTTGAATTGTCCAGCCCCACCCTAGGTTGTGATTGTTGTTGTAATTTTAAACTGCTGTTTTATTTTTGTATCCCCCTTCCCTTTTTTATTGTAAGCTGCCCGGAGTCTTCCGAGAGTGGGCGGCATACAAAACTAATAAACTAACTAACTAACTAACTGAAGCCCTGCTCCTTTGCATATGCATGTGATTTCAGTGCATAAACAAAAGAGTCATGGCTAGCAAAACCTGCATTTTTACTTCTTTAACCTCTGTTGTGTATGTGACTAAGAATATTTTTACTATATTTGATATTAGTGTTGTGAATATTTTAAATTACTCAAATATATATTTTTGCCTTCATTTTCTTTTCATTATTTCCTAAGAAGGGTAAGACTAGATAAATTACTCTTTGAAGAATAAAGCTATTGTTTAAAATGCTATTTCATTATTTCAAGATAAATAGATAGCATGTATTAAAAATAATGTTTATATTAATTTTTCTCTTTAGAAACTATTAAAAAACCAGAAACACAAAAACACATATATCCACATACTTAGATAAAATGCAACTTTTAAATGTTTAATGTTTCTTACCTGCAACCGTTGCCATAGTTACATTTCCCTGCTGTAGGGCTGATGCAGGTACCACAATCCCCTGGGGACTTAGTGTACCTGTGATGGCACTTTGAATTGGCTAGAAACAATAACAAGAAGAATTACATAGCGTTATATTTATGAATGTTCCCATGATTTCAGTTAAATTATTTTAAATCAGAGAGAGATTTGAAAAAAAAATAATGGTATTGACAAGTATGATTAAAAAAATATGTTATGAAAACAATTTCAATGAAAAGAATAACTAAGCAAGAAATAATAGTTTGCCAATATGTATGTTGATTCTAAAATGTTAGCTTTCTTTCCAATATTGAAACATTCATAGAATAGTTTAAACAATCATAAGAATGTGGAATTATAACTAAACCACACCATAGTAATACTACTCCTAACATAGTGAAAGCTTGAATCTGTGTATCAAATTGGCATGAATATTTGAAAATAGCTATCTAGGTATTTTTTTTAAAAGGAAGAATAAATAAATTGTACAGATTTTCAGTCGTAAAGATCTCCTGAGCATTTTAAACCTGAGCGGCAAAGATGATTTTTTAAATATGCTAAAAGTTCAGATTTAAAATATTTATCTAAATTAGTAAATCATCGAACAAAATACAATTAATATATGAAATACAAGAATGCAATTTAATAAGTTGACATGAGGTTGACATGAAATATTCAATGAAATTCAATGAGCAAATATTAATTTTCTAAAACGATATATTAATATTTTAAACTATTCATAATTAACTTAATTTTCTTCTGTAAGTTATAAATATATGTTTCCAATGGATTTCTAGGAGAGTTCTTACAGTAATGAAGATGAATACCATAAACTATTTAAAGGATTTATTTTTTCATAGTACTTATATTATTCCAATCTCAAACATGTCTGGGCAATATTCAATATCCCCATCTCTACCACCACCCCAAATAAAATACTAATACTAATACTAATAATGAATAACTAAATGCAAATCAATATTAAAAACAAACCACCAAAAAGCGAGGATCAAACCAAGATAGTTGGCATCAGTCATGCAGCTAAGGTCAAAAACATGTTGAAATAAAACTTAAAATTTGTTTATGGAATTTCAGGAAAGTGAGAGATGCTTGGAACGTGGGGGGAAATGTATCCCCAAAGGTAAGGGTTCTTTCAGAGAAGGCCTGTAATAACCACAAGAATGGCGAAAACTTTCAGGTCAGCTCTTGAGGACCAGACTGAATGGGCAGAATCAGTTTTGCAAGGTATTGTCCAATATATCCTGGTATTGCACTGTTAAGAGTTTTTTACATTTAACATCAGCATTTTGGATTGGCCCTGACAGTCTACTCATAAACAATATAGTGACTTTAGTAGAGATATAATGGGGAAGGGTTAGAGCAGAATGTCCATTAAATCCAAATGTGATTTTATGCATGTATTGTTGACCTGTGCATAAATGGTAAGCACATGGGCAGAAACATTATCATGCAGAGATTTATTTTTTGTTGTATTTTATCTCCAATAAACTCTAATCCAATGAATGAAGAATTTACTTTGGCAGACCTCATTCTGAAATTTAAATAGAGATAGTCCTCAACTTATAACCACAACTGAACCTAAAGTTTATGTTGTTAAATGAGTTTTGCCCCATTTTACTATCTTTCTTGCCACAGTTGTTAAGTGAATCACTGCTGTTTTTATGTTAGTAACCTGGTTGTTAAGTGAATATGGCTTCCCCATACACTTGCTTGTCAGGTTGCAAAAGGTGATCACATGACCTTGGCACTCAGCAACAGTCATAAATATGAACCAGTTGCCAAGCATCTGAATTTTGATCACAAGATCATGAGGATGCTGCAAAGGTCGTAATTCTAAAAAATTGTCACAAGTCACATTTTTCAGTGCCATTGTAACTTTGAATGGTCACCAAATGAAGTTGTAAGTTGAGGACTGTATTGGTGCCCATATTACTTAGGTTTAAACAGAAATAGTAAATTATGTAACTATCTGAACTGGGGGGAAATCACATAACTTTCATTACTATTATAAAATTTAATTGCCAATTGGGACACTTTTTACAATAATTATACTATTATGTAGCAAAATAAAGGTCCCTAGGTCAATGATGGACATTTATAAGCCATATTGTTTCAGGTTAGCTTTTTATGCCTTCAATTAATGCAGTGGTGGTTGATCTTTTGATCGCCAGTGCCTTGTCTTGCTTAATGTATTTTGGGTGGCTGATTGATTATTTAATTTTATTTTATTGGATTTACAGAGGATGTTCAGAGTTTTGGTTGTTGTTTAATTATGTGAAGCCTAAGTTTTAAATATTAGAGTTTCTCATTATTTGTCATCGTAACAGGGCAGAAAAGAATGCAATTAAATTTTAATAATTGTGGTAGGTGGTACTTGGATGTGCAAAAAGGGGTAACAGTCTGCATTCATGTTGACTTAGTCTAATATTTGCAGCACATTTTCTTAAATTCCTCTCCCAACATAAAACAGCCAGGAAAGGAAGTATTTCATGAATAAAACATGAGATGAGTGATTCCTACTCATTTATATTTTTCAACTAGTTTCTTATGCACATGGTTTCTTGTGCTTAGATTTAATTACTGAATCGGAAGAACTTAATGCTCTGAAGTCTTGTGTATATGATGGAGAGCTATCAAGAACTTTCTTCCTCTACTGATAACTCCCCTATTATGGACAGGGCCATTATTTACAATGAGATGAACAAAGCCAACCCAAAACTTAGGCCAAGGAAACAGTGCCAAAGAAGTGTAATGATAATTGTGTCAATTTTGCTCTACTGCTCACATTTTCTGGTGACTCTTTCCATGAAGACAGCTGCTCCAGCAAATCCAAGCTATCTTTATCATGTTTAAAGTTGCTGGACTGCAGACAAAGAGTTAACAAATTATAGTCATTCTTTAAGAATTACAATTTCATGTACCGGATTACTAAAAACTGCACAAGGGAAACCTGGTATCTTTAATAACATCACAAAGAATTAAACAGTGCTAATTGGTAAGTCATAGATCATCTATTTTAAAACTGCATTGTTATGCATTTAATCAAATTATTAAGATGGTATAAGATTTTTAAAAATCTTCTTTTATCTAATCTGATTTTTTTTTTGAATATGGTACATTACAAAGCAATTAAGAAAATATCCTTCATTTGTTATGAAAGTTACCTGGGGTTGTACTGGTGAATAAGGACTCCCAGATTCCCCACTTAGCAGAGTTTCACTGTTCATTTTAGTCTTTAGACATGCAATATAGCGACTACAAAAATCTTTACAGAGCTCATTAACTTTTTCTAGCTCAAGCAGATGAATTCGTAGAACCTGAATTGCTTTTACCATCTGAGGATAAATAAACAGAATTTTAAAACAACATACAAAAATGTCTTCATTTCATTTACATTTATTGATGATACTGTATTTATATCTGGCCTCCCTGACAGAGTTTACAATAAAGTTCAATGACTATAATTTACAACCATTAAATGAAAAATGTTATTAAATACACAGAATAAAGTAACAAAATAATAATAGTAGTAGTAGTAGTAGTAGTAGTAGTAGTAGTAGTAGTAATAATAATAATAACAATAATAATAATAATTTAATAATAATAATAATTGATCA